TCTGGACTACTTTATATTAGTCTCCTGGGAGTACAGCAGAGAACCTCCTCTGATGCCATCTTCCCAACTTGAATCTCCTCTTTATTTCCTAATTCATTTTTGAATTACTATCTAGTGTCCTTTTATTTCAACTTGAACTCTTAAATGTAGTTTGTATGGCCAATGTGGTAGTAACAAAGTCCTCAGCTTTTCTTTATCTGGGAATGTCTAATTTCTCCTCATTTTTGAAGGATATTTTTACCAAATATAAGACTCTTAGATTACAATTTTTTATTTCCACCCTTGAAGTTTGTCACCCCCACTCTGTTCTGACTTTAACATTTCTGATGAAAAATAGACTGCAAATATTATTGATAATCCTTTCTATGTTGCCATATATTTGTCTTACTGCTTTCAAAATCATGTTGTAATTTTAGTTTTCAAAAGACAAGTTAAAATAGATTAGGTCCAGGTATCATCAATAATATAGCAAACAAAGAAAAAACACTTCTCAGAATTCATCAATCTCTGTTGTTAAAAATCACTGAGCAAACTAGAAATGCAAGATAACATTCTCAACCTTATTGAGAGTATCTACAAAACCATACACATAGCATCATACTTAAGAAGGCTCAATATATTCCTTCTCCAGTCCATGAAAGAAAAAAATCATGGATTTATCTCTCACTATTTTTAACAGTATATTAGAGGTCTTGACTACTGTCAGACAGCAGAAATAAAAGGCATACAATTTGGAAAGGAAGGAAAAGAAGTCCTTTAAGGTGATATGATCTTGTAGTAAAAACAGTAAGGGAATTCAAAGTAGATATTGTAGAGACAAAACAGGAACTTAGCAAATTTGCAAGATTCAAAGTAAACATGTAAAATCTATCCCAATAAATAATATGACTTACATATTTTACAAACTGCATTTACATTGGTATCCAAAAAATTAGGAATAAAAGTGTTGGAAAAAACTATGAAATCCTAAACAAAATCTAAATTAGTGGATTGATGCACAATCACCACATAGTAGAAAATTAAATTTGTCAAAAATGGCAATTTTACATCTAAATTATCTACAGAGTCAATGCAATGCAAGTAGAATTCTCCAAAATCATTCTTTCTTAAAAAACGTGAGCTTACTTTAAAATTTAATTGTAAATATCAAATGTGAGTGCTTATAACTCCTTATTGCAAGACTTACTAGAAAATGACAATGAACAAGAATATGAGAAAATGCTGACAAGGTAGATGCACATTTCCATGGAGCATGAGACATGATATACATGGCAGAAATAAGTTCATAAATGATCAATTTTTTACAAAGCCATCAAGATGTTTCCAAGGAGAAATAAGACCTTTTCGATAAATGATGCTAGGATAGCTAGATATTTGTATAGGGGAACCACTTTGATTCATCTCATAACCTCCACAGAAATGAATCAAAATGAACCATAGAGAAAATTTTTGTGACATTGGAGCACACAAAATTTCTTTAAAAATACTAAAAGTAGGGGCCTCCCTGGTGGTGCAGCGGTTGAGCACTGGGTTGCGAATCTGCCCGCGGCCTCTGCGGCGCCGGTTCGATCCCCGGCTGCTCCCTGGCCACCAGAGGAGGGTCCCACATGGCGCGCGGACCTCTCCTGCAGCCCGCTGCTCCCCTCAGCAGTGTCCTTCGGTCCTTCTGCCTGCTCTGCTCCCCGCTCTGGCTCTGGTGAATTCTCTCACCCTCCCGCGCTTCTGACTGTACCCAGTGCATGTATAAACCAAAACAACAAACAAACAAACAAACAAATAAATAAATAAATAAAACATGCCTCTATAAAAAAAAAAATTAAAAAAATACTAAAAGTACCACCTATAACAGATATATCAGCCCAGATGATGTGTTCTTAAAAAACAGAAAAGGCCTCCCTGGTGGTGCAAGGTATTAAGATGCACCCTATGAAGCTATCCGCAGCCACTGTAGCACACATTAGATCCCCAGCCAGGGAGCCACCCACGTGGTGCACCAGACCTCTCCTGTCTCCCCGCTGCTCCCCTCAGCGGTGTTTTTCAGTCAATCCACCTGTTCTGTTCCCCACTCTGTCTCAGGTGAATCCTCACCCCCATACCTCTGGCCTGTACCCCAGTTCTTGAATGCATAAATAAACAAATCTTTAAAAAAATAGAAAATCATTAACACATAATGAAAAAAAATTAGGCCTAATTAATAAGCTTGTAAACTTGTAGGATACAAAGTCAACATACAGAAATCAGCTGTATTTCTATACACCAAAAATGAAATGTTTAAAAAAGAGTTAAAGGGTATAACTCCATTCTAAATATAAAAAACAATAAGGTACTTGGGTATTAAACCAAGGTACTATACTAAACCAAGGTGCTGAAATATCTAGACATTTTAGAAAATTGGACTTTAATGAAGAAAGACACAAATTAATGGAAAGAGTATCCTATGACCTGGATGAAGTAAAGCTAATATTGTTAACATGTATAGATATAATGCAATGTATAGATTTAAAGCACTCTCTATCAAAATTCAATGGCGTTTTTCACAGATAGAAAAAAATTATTCTAAAATTTAAGTGGAATCACAAAAGGCCATAATTAGCCAAAGAAATGTTCATAAAGAAGCACCAGGCGACACTATCACACTGTCTGATGTCAGACGTTTACTATACAGCTATAGTAACCACAAGGGTAGGTATTGGGCCTCCCTGGTGGCTCAGGGGTTAAAGTCTCAGCTCTATCAGCTATCAGCAGCCACTGCATCATGAGTGTACGAGTGTACATCATGAGGGAGCTGACCCACATGGTTCAGCAGACCTCTCCTGTCTTGTCCGCTGCTCCCCTCAGCAGTGTTTATCAGTAGATCCTCCTGTTCTGCTCCCCACTCTGTCTCTGGTGAATCCTTTCACCCCCTGCACCTCTGGCCTGCACCCCAGTTCTCATATGCATAAATAAGTAAAAATAAATCTTTTTTAAAAAGGAGCAGGTATTGACATAAACATAGACACATAGACCAATAGCACATAATCAAGATCCCAGAAATTAATCCTTCATATACTGATAAAGGAACCAAGAATACTTGGTGAGGACAAGATAATCTCTTCAATAATGGTGTTGGGAAAACTGGATAATCACCAGCAGAAGAATGAAATTTGATTCTTATCTTATACCACTCATAAAATTTAACCTGAAATGGAGTAAAGACAAATATTAACCTCAAACTACAAATCCCCTAGAAGAAAAGGAATCAACAAAGTTCCTGGACATTGACCTTGAGAACATTTTTTTTTTTTTGGTAGAATAGTTATCCTAATTGGTATAAGGTTTTATCTGTGGTTGTTATCTGCGTTTGCCTGACGAAGTTATGTCCCTATTCCTGTTGGTTATAACTGTCTTTTCTTGAGAAATATTTATTGAGATCTTTGAACCATTTTCATTCAGGTTATTTCTTTTTCTTTTTTTGCTATTGATTGTAGTATCAGTATTTGGATATTAACACTCTATCAAACACGATTCGAAAATAGCTTCTCTCAGTCCTCAGGTTTCCTTTTAGTTTTTTCTTTTGTTGGTGGAAGCTTTTTAGTTGACTTAATCCTGCTTGTCTATTTTTTGTTTTCACTGTCTGTGGTTTTGCTGCTAAGGATTATTGTCCAGAAGCCTTTTAATATATGTTGAGTTGAAAATCTTTAGTTTAGCTACAAGGCTCCCTCATATTCACCAAATAACCCACTCTCATCTCTTTTACAACCCTCCTTTCTCACAGAGACAGACAAGCACACTCACCTATTACCCTGTGCCCTTTAAAACTGATCAGTCATCATAAAGGGCTTGGTAAGGAGACTGGCCAGTATAATGTTCTGACCCAGGCATCTTTACGAATTACATTTAGAATGATGCATTAAGAGCTCACAATAGATGATGTCAGACTTACAGATGAAAAGGGATGATTTTTTTCTCTCATTTTCCTTATGGGAAACCCAAGTTGCCATGCTGTCTGCCTATTTCAGGACTAGGACTGCCAGCAGAAATGCCAGACTTCTCATTCCACAAATCATAACACCTGAGGTATTTAGCTCTATTACCTTACATGGTTGCAAAAATTACTTTTAACAGCTTTTTTTTTTTTTTTTACAAAATCAAACATCCAGAGTACAGCCAAAACTGTTTCTTAATACAAATTTAGTATCACTACACTGTGTTTTATAGAAATGCCTACCTACTACTTGGACAACGAAGATACAATGACCACTCTGGAGCCCATGAGCATAAGTCCAGATGGGACATAACACAGATGCCCTGGCCACACACGTGCAGTGCTGTTCTCTGTTCTGTTTGCAAACAGGCAAAACCCCCATTTTGATGCAATTTTTTTCTCCCTTTCCAGAGGTAACTCCTTCTCATCTTTATAAATGAACTGTAGGGCCTCCCCTGGTGGCACAGGCGGTTGAGCGCAGCTCTGTGAAGCTGTCCGCAGCCTCTGCAGTGCTGGTTTGATCTTGGCCAGCCGGCAAGGGTCCCACATGGGGTGGCAGACCTCTCCTGTCTCGCCCGCTGCTCCCCTCAGCAGTGTATTTCGTCAGTCTGCCTGCTCTGCTCCCCGCTCTATCTCTGGTGAATCCTCTCACCCTCCGTGCATCTGGCCTGTACCCCAGTTCTTGTATAAATAAATAAATCTTTAAAATAAAATTCTGGTTTAAATAAACAAACAAACAAATAAATAAATAAATGAAATGTAATGGTTCTGAAATGTCTGAAATTCACCCCAGGTCCTAGGGAGATGTCTTTTCTGTGTTCCATCTAGCACTGTAATAACAGCTGTAATAACAAAATGGCACTCATCAAAGTGACTCTGTTTCTTCATTTCCAGCTCTAGCTCTTTGGGAAGCACAGCCACTCACAGCAGTGTACACTGCACACTGGAAATCGACAAAGATTTGTTTAGGAAAGAATGAATCACAAGCTGATGGAAATCCCCCAGAGGAAGGGCAGCATCACCTGGGGACACTCACCTGTCTGAGAGATGACCATATATGAAGCCTCCCACAAGCATTCCAGCCATGAATAAAGATTGAGCCACTGACTTATATGACTGATAATCGCATACGAGTTTCCACTAGAAGAGAAAACAATCGGCACAGAGGAGGGTCACAGCAGCTTCTCATCCCTCTGTGTTCACTCACTCTCACAGCCTCATGCACGGGCTCTCTGATCTCCCTTTACTGCAGTCACAGCTCTCTACCATCCAAGTCTCCACTGCAGCGTGGGCTTCTCTGGAAATCCCCAACTAAGTCTTCTAGGTTGATTGGGGTCAATCTTCATCTTCACTTAATACTCCATTCCTCCATGGACCTCAGTCTTTGCCTCACACTGAAAACACTGAGATTTTCAAAAGCACTGTAGCCTCTATTTCCTACCCAGAGTGAAATACCCTCTGGCTGGCTTCTCTGACAAAGAACCAGGGCATGGGGAACTTTTTGAAAACTTGTAGAGCTCTTTCCAATTTGCATCTAGGCTAAAACCAAGGCACCCACAATAATTTTCACACTTCCTACCAAGTGCTTGTCTGTTATACCAAGTACTTGTCTAATCACCAGTCCTCACACTAGATTTAAAGCTCTGTGATAGTGGAATCCTGTCTAATGGGTTGACTTCCCTGGCCTCAAATTCAATGCAAGTGCTCCGCATGGAGAGGTGAGCAGCCACTAGTTAATCAAAAAAGAAGTGTTCAGGCTATACAATAGCTACACACTCACTGAAGACTTGAGCCAGGCCTTCTGTTATGTTATTCCCAACACCGCGACTTAGCCACAAGAGATCAGTGGGGCCTCTCACCTCAGTCACGATGGTGGAAGAGAAGAAAGTTTGATCGTACACCCAGCCGTCCACACAGGGCTCCGTGCCTGCCTCGTTCCTGTTGGGGAAGGTCCCGTTCACCTGGAGCAGCTGCCATTGGGGATGGATGAAGCGCTGACACTTCTCTGGCTTCAGGTTTGAGTCCAGTGGGATGGAGATTCTCAGGAGGGCGTCTGGGCTAAAGCTCTCTGTGGTGTTAGTAGAGACCGTATCATTGTCGAGAATGTGGACCCAGCAGCGGTGATCCGGGATGGCCGCAGTGAAGTTCTCCAACAATAAATGAGACATTATTATCATGAGAATGGGAAGAATGGCAACTGCCTGAAGGGTCTGGAATTTCCCCAAGCCACCAACTTGTTCCAGGAGCTCTTCAAAGGCCATTGAGTGTGAACAGGCGCTCCACAAGAGCTGTGAAAATAGAATCGAAGGAGAAAAATTTCCTTTCACTGACACACATTAAGTTTGTGTGACTTCAAATAAGTTTTTCATCCATGGGGCCACACCTCACCGGTGCAACAGAGCATGAAAGCTGTTTCTCCAGTACTTTTTGAGTTAGGAGGTATAACATTTTTAGTAATGCCCGAGAAAATTACTTATTAGAGATACATCTAGCTATTAACAAAGAAAACTGTTTAAAAGTTTACTCTTGAGTATGATTTTCTGGAACACAATGATCTCATGGAATCAGCACTGAACTTTGGTATGTACATACTTTTAAATAAAATAAACTTGCCACACAGTCTTCAGTCATTTGCATAAAATGGAATTTGAGATGCATAAAAGTAAACTGTTTTATGGTTTTTCTATAGTGGAACAGAAAGTGAGTTTTTTGTTTGTTTAGTACTGAATTTAGATTAATATAGTTAATAAACGCAATGGCTTACTTTTCATCAGAGTAGAACGTGGCATGATAAGTACCTTTTATTAACTGAGTTTATGCTTCATTTTAAATCATAACAGAAACTTGCAGTTACTTTTTAGTTCCTTGAATTGTAGACACAGAGTAAAACAGTGGTCAGCTCGTTTAAAGGTTTACATGCACCTAACTGGTGAGTCTAGCTCCGAGTCAAAATTCCTGCTCCACTGCTAGACATTGACTCTGTATAACCAGATACTCTGAACAATGATGTACGCATCCTCAGAGCCTCAGATCAGGCTCTGTAGTTAAACAGGGTAGCAGTCCATACCCAAAGTTGGTTGTTGACCCCATCGGACAAGGCTACTGACTGAATCTCGGCTTAGGAGGTGTCTCCAGCTGTAAACACAATTGAGTGGGGCTAATGGCTGTTTACTTGTGGGCTGGGATATGCTTTGGGCTTCCTTACTGTGTGGAGATGCAGGCTACACCCCTTAATTGTGTTCGGTCACTGGACAAGGCTTCAAGTTGTATTTAGCAATCGGGCACAGTCACCTGTTGGCACCGATGTGGGGTGAAGGTATTGAATGGCCTCTGTGACTGGAGGCTGCTGCAGACCAGACAGTCAATGAAATTCTCAGCTATTTAGGAAAACTCAGCATCTAAATGAATTTGCAGCAGGGGGAGGCTGGAGAGAGCCATCCAGAGCAGCTCTGTTTTCCATTCTCCTAGCCCAAGCTTTTATTAAAGATATGAACAAAGGAACAAGAAAACAGCATGCAATGGTGTTCACGATTACACAAATTAATGTTAATGTTGAAAACAAGTTTTTTTAGTTAGTGGGGATCATATACACAAGCCAGCACATCCTCAGAAAATAGGAATCAGTTCTGGGAAAGAAGAGTCAATTCTGTTTGCAGAACTTCTAACCTCTTGAAACTCCGTATGCAGAGTAAACAGGTGCTCTCAGACAACTCCAGCAGCCAGCTCCCCCTTTTTGTTTTTAAAGCAGAGTAAGCATAACTAGTTTTGGCAAAGCCTGTTCATCCAACCAAATAATAGAATCTCTTCATTGCTGTATTTTGCGCAAGATTTGTCAACATGGATTGGGTTTCCCAAGTTTTCGTAAACGATTTTTTTGAAAGTTTTGCAGGTACTCAGAAGTTTGAACCTGCTCATGTGGGGCAGCAGCAGCAGCAATGATACTGGCTAGGGTAACAATGTCTGCAATCAACCATCATATTAATCTTCTGGTGCAGTGTTTTAAGTGATGCAGCAGCTCCTGCATGAATGTGATAGAAGGGGGTTCTTGCCATGGTTTCTGGATTTCAATGGGAACCCAAGTGGCTACCGGCCATTTCAGTATTAAGAATGTGATATTTGGATTGGATTTCTGATTTGTCCAGTTAATAGATTGTTGCAGATAACGGTCACTACAAGTAACATGATACGTGGAATAGGATGCATTATAAATAACTTGAACATTTCCTGACAACAAAACATATGGATTAAGCACACAGCAGAAGCAAAAATTTCCTCCTGGAAGGTAATGTTCATATGAGCACAATTTCCTTCAGTATGATGTAAGCCTCCCACACCTGTAGGGATCATTTTACCAGACCCAGCTTTTAGATGGAGTTTTGCATAGGCCCATGTCTCAGTCTTTATGGTTCCCCAAGTTCTTCCAGTCTCAGATCCTCTCAGTCCCCCCAGAGAGAGCATGACACTGAGCACCGTGAGGGTTTAGAGGGCATCGAGTTTATCTGGCTACCTCCTGCTGGGAGGGGGCAGAGGAGGGTGGGGCAGCGGTGTTGGAGCAGGTCAGTCCAGGGTCCCCACATATAGTCGGTGGACTGGAGATACCTGCAAGCGGAAGGTTTGCAGCTTTTAACCTGCAGAAGACGAAACTAACCAAGAGGTTTAGAATACACGGGCCAAATAGAAGGGCAAGCAGGCACATGGCAAGTGGTCCAAGGAAGGGCAAAAGAAACCGTGAATGTGGATGTAGGCGAATACAGAAAAATGCATCCTCCAGGTCCAGGACTGAAAAGAACTTCATATCTCCTGGCACCTGGGACAGCAATGTACAGGGATTTGGCACTACATGGGGCAGGGGAATCACAGCCTGGTTCATTTGTCTTCAGTCTTGAACCAGACGCCAAGAGCCATTTGGCTTTTTTGCCCCCAAGATAGGAGAGTTGTACGGGCTAGAGCAGGGTCCTAGCAGGCCCTGGTGTTTTAAAGTGTCGATTAGGCCAGAAAGACCTCTTGTTTCTGGGCTTGGTGAATATTGTTATTTTGGCAGGGATATGGCACTCCCGCTTTTAACTTGATTTCGATGGGAGCACTGGAGACTGCTCTCCCCACCTGTGACCTGTCAGACCAGACCGATGGGTCAATTTCCACAACTAGAAGCAAAATAAGAGGGCATAAGGGAGCGGCCCGCTGTTCTGGCTGGCGAACACAAAGTGAAGCACCCACCTTGGCCAAGATATCTCGGCCCAAAAGCAGGGTTGGGCATTCAGGGATCACTAGGAAGGCATGCGAAAAACAAAAGGAGTCCCAGAGGCACCCCAAAGGGGGGTAAAATATCTAGTAATAGTTTTTCAGGCTACTCCCTTAACTGCCACCCCACTAGATGTTAACAGGAAGGAACAAGATTGGAGGATAGAGTACATGGCCCCAGTATTCACCAGCAAGTCTGAATGGCCTCTACCTAGGCTCTGATGATGAAATCAAGAGGGCAGGGGTGATCAGAGCCTCTGGGTGCCATCAGAGTTCAGAGTGGACTGGCCCTGGTTTCTGCAACAGAGGACAGTCCCTTCTCCAGTGATTACCCTGACTTTGGAGGCACAGTCTTAGAGGCAACTGCCAGCTGTCCAGAAGCCAATCCCTTGGCCATGGCCACTCTCTTTGGAAATGACCTGTGCGGCCACACTAGCAGCACCTTACTCCTCTCGTGAAGCCATCCCTGAGGTTCTAAGAGCGGCCACCATAGCCTCCCCCCTGATACGGGCCTTTTGGGTCTCTTTCTTTGTCTCCTCTTGATCCCTGCTGTAAAAGACCTGGGTGGCAACAGTGAGGAGATTTTCCAATGAGTGCTGAGGGCCTGTGATTTTCCCCTGATATCAGGGGCTGCCTGTAGCATAAACTTACCCTGTAGTGAAGTCTGGCCCTATTAGGACTTGGGGTCTACATTTGTGTATTTACGCGGTGCCTCCCTGAGCCCATCCAAGGAGCCCATGGGACTCTTGTCCTTTTCCTGAGTGACTTTAGAAACCTTAGCATAGTTAAAAGGCTTTTGTTTGGCTGCCTCCAAACCCCTAACTGTGCACTCCACAAAGTGAATCCGCAGGAACACGTGAATCTCATTGTTAAAGTTCCAGCCCAGCTCTACCAAGGAAACTCTGGGCGCCCGTGATATGTGCAAGAAAGACCGATCCGGTTTTCTGGGTTGAGGCAAGCTCTGTCAGGCTCTGTGTGCTGCTAAAGCGACCTGTTGGTATGCCTGCTGGTCATATAGAATCTGCTGGTTTCAATTTGGCCATGCAACACTGCCTGTAAGTTATTCAAAAGAAATATTGATGCTATTTCGCTCATTAATCCTGGCTTGTTCTTGTGCACAGTCTCCAAAACTCGCCTTTTCTTTCTTTCTTTTTTTTTTTTTAATTTGCATTTTCTGTACCAGAAAGCCATCAAAACAGAAGTCATTTCTGGATCATCTGCAAAAATTGTCTTTTGTTCTTTCATAGCTTTGGCTAAGGGAGTTAAACCAGCAACTGATTCTTTCTGAAAATGAGACCATTTATTCTTAGGGCTTTTACTTTCTGGGTAATTTTCCTTCATTTGTGGTACTGAAGGTATTGAAGGCTGAGGAATATCAGGTACCTCATTTTTACGTTTAGTCTCATTTTTTCAGTGTCCCAGAAGGGTTTCTGAGCTGTTTGTACCAGAGCACAGGTTGAAAAAACTACAATAGGGATTTTCATACCTCGTTTATGATGCATTTTCAAAATTTCACTGATTTGTCCCCAAATTTCTACATCCAAAATACTTTCACCCAGGAACCACAGAGTGGTCTGAATGACCCAATCGAACAACTCATTTGAGATCTCGGTAGGGACAGTGGCTCCTCTCTGTTCTAACAGGCATCTTAAAAGGGTTACATAATTATGATGTGCCCAATTCTTCCCCATTTCTTACTTAACCCTGAAAATCCCCTTAGCCAATTGCGACCTATGAGTATAGAGACAAGCTGGAGAACACACCACACGTACCTTTCTGAGTTTCCAGGGTTCAGGGCTCTCTTTGGACGCCACTGCGGACAGCCAGACAGCTGATGAAGTTCTCAGCTATTAACAAAGAATTGGAGTCTAAATGAATTTGTAGTGGGGGAGGTGGCCATCGAGAGTAGCTCTGCCTTTCACTCTCCCAGCCCAAGCTTTTACTAAAGATATGAACAAAGGAACAAGAAAATAGTGTGCAGTTGTGTTTTTGCTCATACAAATTAATAAGTTACTGCTGG